GCACCATAAATCTATACAATAATAATGTTGTTGTTATAATAATATTATTGTCACTCACAATAATATTAGTTTTTTTGGCTTTTTATTATGCTTACCTTTGTTGAACGATCAACATATTAATATTACTCTATTACACAATACTAATGAGTTTTGTTGTGTTAATATTACTGTGATAGAGATTAATATAGCAATATTACTGTGTTAAACTGTAGTATAGTTAATTTTACTGACTTTTAACAGTAATGTAGTTAATATTACTGTTAATCACAACAATATTGTTGTTTAAACGGGGGGGCAAAAAGATGTTAAAAACGAAAAAAAAATTCGAAAAAGTCAACGCCGGAAACCGGTAGCGGAAAAATCAGGAAGAGAAAAAAAAAATCAACGCCGAAAACGGGCGAAAAAATCAGGAAGAAGAAAAAAATAAAAAAAATAATAAAAGTCGACCGCGGAGATCGGCAGTCAACGGCGGTGACGGACGAAATTGTCTGATGCAGAACTGGCGGAGCCGGAATTGTGTGGGGTCAAGTTTTTCCGAACCGAAACGACGAGGGGAGTTAAACTCACAGCTAGCCCGTGACGTGCGATGGATTTTGGCGAGGTGGCGGAGCCGGAATTGTGTGGGGTCAAGTTTTACCGAACCGGAATGACGAGGGGAGTTAAACTCACAGCGCTGTGACGTGCGATGGATTTTGGTGAGGTGGCGGAGCCGAAATTGTGTGGGGTCAAGTTTTTCCGAACCAGAACGACGAGGGGAGTTAAACTCACAGGTACTCCATGACGTGCGATGGATTTTGGCGAGGTGGCGGAGCCGAATTTGTGTGGGGTCAAGTTTTTCCGAATCGGAATGACGAGGGGAGTTAAACGTTTCGAGGTCGTTTAGGCCATCAAAACGACGTTTTTGCTATTTTAGGAAAATTTTAAATAATTCATTGTTAATTCTAGAAAATTCGGATTTGAATTCCGCAAGTTGGGATGTTTCCAATTTTCGGTATTCTACTAGGTTTAGGGATTATTTCGTTTTTTTGCTTTTTTTGGTAATTTTCTCGTTTTCCTAGTTTGATTAGATTTTTTTTCGTTTTCTTTAGTATAAATAGTTGATTTAGGGTTTATTTTTCAACATCTTTAATTAGTAATAAATTTTCTGTGTTTTTTCTCAATTATCTGGTGAATTCCAAAGTTATCGTGTTCTATAGGATTACTTTGTAAAAATTAATTTTTACCGTGCTTCCGTTCTGCGTCATTGTTCATAAAAATGTCTTACGAAACACACATATAAAATCCCTATAACTTATCCATGTTGGAATCCTCTTTCCTCTCCGTGCTCGTATTGTATAGGCACCA